TGTTCAACGACGGTTATGAAATAAAAATATAAAATGAGTAATAACCAAATATATGTTATGATAATGTGATTATAATAATTTAAGTGATGATTAATATTGTTCCGTCCGTTAATGAGTTGAAATAAAATCTGGACCAATTTTGGAAATTCGACTTTTTACAAACTTAAACATCTTGAGTACTTACCAAATACATTGCAACAGGCCTAGCAAAGAATGTCAGCAGTTATTTGGAAAGATGCAGATTTTTCAATTGCGACAAACGTTTCAACGATTTGATTTAATTTCTGTAAATTCTTAAATTCTTTATTCTTAAAATGAATTTCTTTTTAAATTTTCAATTGCTGATATTTTATTTACTTTTAAAACAAATACTTCGATTAAAAAAAATTCTCATTTTAATTTTAAAAGTCAACATTTTCTATGATGTTAACATTAATAATAATGAAAGATTAAAATGTCTTAATCTAGCTTTTGTAAACGAGAATCCTAGGTCTTCAAACATTAGTAAAAACTAGGTATAAAAACGTTGAAAACTAGCAATTCGGAACTAGGTGCAGTACTTATTGAAAATTCCGATTGCAATTAACGAAACAAGATACTTTATAATTGAAAAACTCATACGCCATCAGGCAAGAGGGTCTAATGTTCAACAGTGATGGCGAACCTGTAGTGCCAGGGTTATGAGGATGCCGTAAGTTTGGCCGAGCGATAATAAAAGCCTTAATGTGTTTTATAACAAAGAATCCACTTAGGATCAATTATTAGTATTGATAACAGAATGTCTCCTGAAATAAAAATCCGACTCTATCTGGAAAATAGGACTGTATATGGGCTGAGAAGATTTATTAAATCTAGGTCTCTTTCTAGAAAAACAAAGTTGTTAATTTACAAGACTCTTGTCAGGCTAGTCTTGACATACGCTTCTGAAGCTTGGAAATTGACAAAAATAGAGGAAAGTTGTATCACAATATTTGAGAGAAAGATTTTGCGGAGTATACTTGGTGGGGAAAATGAAAACAATAACTGGAGAAGGAGATTTTACTTTAAACTGTACAAGATTTAAAAACAACCCAAAATAATTAAACACATAAAAATAAATAGAATGTAATGGATAGCCCACGTCATTCAAATGAGTGATGACAATACCATAAAAAAAAGAAGCTGCTTTTTAGACCCACTGGAACAAGAAAGCTGGGAAGGATGCGGTTAAGATGGGCTGACTCGGTGAAGTCTGATTTTCTTGCATTTAATGAAAAGAATTGGAGATCAAAGATAAATCGGAAGTCGTTATGGAGAAATCTTCAGAGGAAGGCATTGGCCCTCATTGAACTGTCGGGCTAACTATGATGATGATGCGTTTTATAACAGGGATGCCCATTGCCCTCAAGTGGAAAGGAGACATCATTCAAAATTGAAAAAAAAATCCCCAGATTTCAGCAAACAATAAAAATACCTATCAAATTTTTAATCAAGCAACTTTTTAGCTGTATCTAAATACAGTGAGAATTTCACTATTACATTCACCGTTAGAAAAGTTTTATGAAATATTATTTTCGAAAAGTAAAATTAACATTATAAAAAAGTATCATAGGAAAGGGGTAGTGTATTGTTTTTCAAAAATCAATATGAATTTAACAACCCATTCAACTTAATGAACTGAAACATTTATTAAAAAGTTACTGGATATTTTTTTAAAAACAATTAATATGCAAAGAATTATTTGAAGTGTATGTAAAGGTATTTTTAAAATTTTATATACATTTTTTAATTATATCTGCAATGATAGTACTAAGTACTAATCATGCATTTTGTATCAATTAGCAATACTCTCTCAGATGGTTAATCTTTTGATAAGCTAAAAATATCAACAAAATTGATGAAATGTTCCATTGTGTTTTCAACTGGCGACAAAAATTGCGTAATATGTAATTTTTTAAAAGTAAAAATCACTTCCTGAAAAGTTTTATTTTCATATCTATCATATAACGATACGATAAGAGTAATTATCAGAGTTAAAAAAATTTTAAAGCTCATACAAGTATCCTAATTTGTTAGTTAAACATTTTCCGTTTTTCTAATTTCAAATTAGTTCTTGCATATTAATTAATTTAAAAACAATATATTTAATTGTATTCGAATTAGTTACTCGTACTTTCAATTCAGGCTCAGTTTTGCACTACAATGTTTATTTTTCTGTGGGTTTTTTTCCCGATTGGCTATTTTATGATTCCTTATTTTTGGTGCTTTTTTCTGGGCTGTTTTTCCTGTTTTTTTCCCCCACTTACTTGTGAGAATACAATACTCAAGCTATAAGCTGCGGGGGTACTGATTAATATATGTTTAACTGTGCTTTATGTCCTTTCAGCAAAACAACTTATAACAGCTAAGTTTACAAACACCCGATGAACACCCGAAGATCTAGGGAAACAATAGAACTGGTTGATAGAATAAAATGGTGCGATAAAACTTTTAAAACCACGGGTTTCTTTTGATTCCAATTCTCCCTCGTCATTAAATTCAGAAAAAAAAATTATTTTGTCTTTGCGCCACATTACATTCAATTCTTTGTAAACTGCTACCAAAGAATTTAATTTTTAAACCAAAATTGAAACTTTCATAATGTAATGCCTCACTTAAATCTTCCTTAAAGGGAGATTTTTCAATAATGTAGTAAGAAATAAGGGAATGTTGCGTAAAAACTTAGTTTTCTTTAAGATCTCCAGCATCTTTTTCGGACATGAATAAAAATGACTAAAATGACACTACCGAAAAAAGATTTTGAAAAAATATCCACCCTCAAACACAAAGAAAAAAATGAAAGAATGAACGTATCAGTTCAATAAAACGAATGATTATAAATGTCTTTCCTTTATTATGTAATTTTGAGTTGAAGATATTTTATTTTGTAATTGTCGTTGAACAGCCGACCCAATTTTGGGTTTTCGACTACTATTGTTCAACTTTGTAGCCTTGTAATTTTGCACCCAAACTAGAAGACAAGGAGACTCCTGGATCAAGTATTGGAAGAAATTTGCTGTCGTGGAGGGCTTTTTGATAGAGCTAATCAGCATTTGCGCTACATGAAGAGCAAGACTACGAGAACCTCCCACGGTTAGTCTGACGGCAAAGGGGTTCTATGACCCATGATTTATCGGCCACTCAAGTTATTTTGCGCCAACATTGAGGTCGGTGCGAGCCGGATGCGGAATTCGTATCGACCAGCCAAAGCTGAGATTCAAACTCGGTTCACCTTATTGGAACGCTATATCCCCTGAGCCACCACCGCTCTAAGTTGAAGATATGAAGAACTTGAGAAGCAAAGTTCCTCCCCCCCCCCGAAAAAAAAAGTTAAAGTATTCCTACCAAACATGATTTCAAAAAAATAACCGTCCATGAAAACAATTCCGTCCTCCTCAAATTTTAACTTCAGTTATAAATACGCTTCTCTTATTTGTTGTTTAATTTAGTTTTGCATTGAGTTTACAGTAAATTTTTACCGCGGAAATTATACCCAAATACTCCGTTTAAAAAAGTCCATACTTTCAACATTTTTCTAGACTTTCAAAAATATTCCGAAATTGCAGTTTACAGTTTTAAGATTGCAAAATTGTCCAAAATATTTTTTTTTTTTTAAATTATTCACCCTCAAAATTAACTATTGTAATTTTCTCCCTTGGTATCCGCTGTGGACACCCTTTTTTTCATAAAAAAAAACTAAAGGTTCCAAAAAATTTATTTGATTTAGTACTTTTTTAAGATAGGACATTTTAAAGTTGAGCATCCGAATCCCCTTAAAGCGATTTCCCGATTTGTCACCCACGTGATTTCTGAAATTACGCAATATATTTGACAAGAAATATTTTGTAAATATGCATGTATCCATGCCACGAATACTTAGTACGAAACGTGAATGCATAAAAATATTTTTTTTCATATTCATAAAAATGCGAAATTATAATTTCTAGTTGTCCTTCCAACGGAGAATTATCTTTCAAGACATTCTAAGTTACAAACAATCTAATAGTCCTATATATATATAACTAGTTCTGTACCTGAAATATGAATGCAGATTTTTTCTATACTTTAACATAAGAAGACAACTGCGTTAGGGAAGGTACCTTAACGCGTTTAGATTATTTAGTATGAAATAACGGCATACTAATTTTAGAAAACTGATTTGGATTGAAGTTAATGGAAAGCGTTTTTTTTCTTCTCTAAATAGAAGTAATTTAAAACCGTGCATTCTTTTTCACAATTTCTCTAACAAAAAAGTGGAGCTATCAAAATATTTGATCTACTTAATGCTAATTATATTCATTAAATGAAAAATAGGTAAACCATAAATCAATAGGATGCCACCAGTCTCGTTAAATCTTCAAAATCGTGACTTAATTTTAACAAACTAACAGAATAAACAGCTGCAACTTTGATGAAAATTTGAAAAAAAGGGAGTGTAAAGTTCAAATCTAACGTACTAATATTAGATGTTACAATTTACTCGATACGGTTTTTTACCACCTCCACCAAAATCGTGACTAAATTTCCAACATCTTCATCTAAAGCGAAAAATACCTGGTATAAAAAAAGAAAAAGTCTGCTATTGACCTCGGGTGTAATATACTGTTTCTTCTAATAAACACCGCACTAACAAATACATACAAATCTAATGAAATCATTTCCTTTCACTTCACGAAAAAAAACATCGTCTGCGAGAATGAAAATAAAAGTTCTTTTTTACGTATATCCGCAGGCATCGTTTTCATCTTTTTTTCAGATCTCCCAAAAGCATCATTCGCGCAATTAACCCGGTTATAAGAAAAGAGAAAGGTAAGAAAATAACGGGATGTAAGAAAAAAAGAAAAGAAAAAAGATCAACTGGTCTGTATTCCACCTGTCCTTTCCCCGATGAAACGAAACAAAGCATTAAAAAAAAAATCACTCTCATCTTCATTGGAGGATGGCTGAAATCGGGACAGAGTGATGTCCAGCGATTGTCCTATATATATAAGGAGAAAATCAGAATGAGTTACAATCAGATCAGTTAGCTTCACCAAACCTTAAGGAGCTCTCACTGAACTTCATAGAACTTTTTTACCATGGCTTCACTAAAGGTAAGTCAATTAGAAAATTTAACATCAGTTTGTGCTCAACGAAATCACTGGATAAAAATGTATTGAAAATGTAACATTATCAATACAATTATTACTTTGAAATTTTAAATAGTTAATTAATTGCTATTTTATCATATAATATGTTTTAATGAATAAAATGTTTATGTATGTTTTAATCCATAATTTTAAATCACAAGGAGCTTAAAAAATTAAATTTTTAAGAAAATTTAGCATCAGTTAGTGCTCAATGAAATCACTGGATAAAAATTTGTTGAAAATTTAACATTATGAATACAATTATTACTTTGAAATTTTAAATAGTTGAAAAATTATTATTTTTTTCAGATAATATGTTTTGATGAATAAGGAGCTTAATTCATAATTTTAAATCACAAGGAGATTTAAAAATTCTATTGTTAAGAAAATTTAGCATGAGTTTGTGCTCAATGAAATCATTGAATAAAAATTGATTAAAAATGTAACAATTATTACTTTGAAATTTTAAATAGTTAATAATGATTATTTTTTCATGTAATATGTTTTTATGAATAAGGAGCTTAATTCATAATTTTAAATCATAAGGAGCTTTCACGGTATTTTCTATATTTTTTACCGTGGCAACACTTAAGATCAGCACAATAGGAAAATTTACAACATCAGCTAGTAAACACTGGATAAAAACTGACTAAAATTTAAATTAGTAATACTTTTATTTTTTATTAAATTTTAAATAGTTATTAAATAATTAATTTCTTATGTTGTACTAATTATTGTTGAAAGAAAATATCTTTAAAATGTTTCAGTAAACTTTATGAAAGGTATTTTTTAGTTATTGATATCAACTATAAGGAAATCACGATATTATATATCAAATATGATGAGGCAATACGAATGTTTTTAAGTAGATTGTTGTCAATTTTATTTATTAAAAGAGTTATTTGCTTTAATTAATGCCTTAATAATTATTAAATAAATATTGATTGAATTCATATTACTTTAAAACTTTTTAAATACTAAAAATATTTAATAGATGCTTTCCACAATATAATAATTTAGTATTAAGTAATGAAACAAATTTTTTTAACACTCGTTATTTAACATGATAAAAAAAATTATATTTCTTTCTTAAATTTTATCATTAAAGAATATAAATGTTATTAAATTAAAATATCCAAGAAAAAAAAATAAATAATTTTGCATTATTAAATTTTGCATAATAAAAATATTGCAAAAATCTTTATTTTTTGGAGAAAAAAATTAATTTAAGGAAAAATTTAGAATTAAATTTAATTTTATTATTAATTGTATTTATGAAGTCAAATTTTTAAAAATCTTTAATTTTTTAGTAATTATTATCAATTTGCTAAGAAAAATATATATTTAAATTTATTAAATTTAAGTTTTTAAAACTTTTGATTTCAGAATATTTTTAACTATATTTTTCGATACTCTTACGAACTGTGAGTTAGTTTTAATTTTTAAATTTAGATATGTTTATGGGAATAAAATAAGTGAACAGAATGATTGTATGTTTGAATAAAATCAGTGTGTTAGAATAAAACGAACAGTTTAAAATGTATAATAAGTTAATTATTAAACAATTAAAATTTGTGGGATTTTTGACAATTTGCTAAAATGCTTAGTTTTCATGAAAATAAATGAGTTTTCTATACATTTTTATAAAAGATTTTATAAAGTTAAGTACTTCTTTAAAATTTAAATAATTGGGAAATAAACCTTAGAAATTTAATAATTACCACACAACCGTTAGGCATTACAAATATCGTAACTCAAATGGTAAAATTTATAAAACTATTGTACGTAGTATAAATTATTTCAAAACGTTTTCAGTGCAAGTAAAAATATTTGTACAGCTAAATTTTTAAACAAAATTGAATAACATCCGCTCATTTATTGAAATTTTTGTGACGTGTTTAAGTATTTTTAATAAAAAAAGTTAAGTTCTAAAAGTATTTTCAACATAGTAGATAAAAGGAAAGAATTACTAAAAATTTGACAAATCTCTTTGGAAATGATTTTTAAATTAATCAAACTCCTTTCCACAGTCCGTATACATAGTTGCGTGTCATAATAAATTTCAATGCAAAAGAGAAAAGTTAAAAAGTCTTGCTAAGTAGTTTCTTAAAAATTTAAACGCTTTTAATAAATACGTGAAACATTTCAAATCAATACCCGATAAGCAAAAAATGATAAGAAATTAGATAAATCTCTCTCTCGGTTATGTTTTTAAATTAACCAAGCCTTCTCCATATTCATTGTTGTGCGACGGCCGCTATTAAGAAATAAACATATCTCAAAAAGACATTTTATAGCAAACAAAGTTAAAGTGTTAAGTACATTTTTTAAAACTTAAAGTGCTTTTAATAAGTTTTCAAATTTCTTAACATAATAGATAGTGGCGACTTGAAGCCCATCCACCTTCATACCGATAACATGTACGAGAAGTAAAATTGACTTGTGCGCAATATTAACCACATTGTCATAATCATACCGATGGTAATAAAATTGTAGAATTTTTATCTCCATAACCACAATGATCTGTATAAGAAATGCTTTTTAAGTAGTTAGCTACAAATTAAGAGAATAAATAAAGTCTATAAGAATGTTTTTATAACCAATTAAACCCTTTTCCATATTGCCTATTCATCGCTGTGTGACCGCTGCCATACCACTGAAAAGTAATTGGTCTAATCGTCAGTCCCGCAGTGGACTAATCGTAAGCACATGGTTCCCAGTAGAACAACGATGTTAAACCTCACTGGCTGCTGTCAGTAAGTGGGTGGGTGACCACTTTGATCGGCCTGAGTAGGGACTGAGGGTGGGCGGTATCGGTTTTTGTTAAACTGTTCTACCGTAAATTGCTCAACCTCACGCTCAAATCGTCTGGCTACCAAAGCAGGGGATCAAAATTGCGATGGCATGTCTTCGGATCATCCTCAGGGATGTTTCTTAGACCGTCGCCATTGTGTAGCTTTAGTGCGATGTTAATAAAGTGCCAACCTACCTTAGGTTATTATTTTGACTTTTTTTTAAATAATATTTAGTAGAAATAAGAAGTCAGGTATGTAATTTAATAAACTTTCAGGTAAAATTTTTATTTTGGTTCCTGACTTCTTTACCTAGAAAAACCACGGACAATTTTGTCTTTTATTATTATTATTTACAAAGCTATTCACTGTGAATAGCTCATTGCTAATTTACGAAAAAAAAAATTTCTCTTCCGTTTTCATACATGATGTTAAGAATTATTTAAACCGTATAACCTTATTTATACTATTATGCCTAGTTTATAGCCGTATAACCTTATTCATACTATTGTACCTACTTTATAACCGTATAACCTTATTTATACTAAGTTTCATTTTAAGAAATTCCGTGTCACAATTCTGAGCCTTTAGAGCATGAAAATATTTTTATTCCGTTGTATCATTATATGCATAACGTTTAGTAGTGATTATTTTCAACAATTTTGCCGGTTTTTTTATTCATGAGGTAATGCAGTTTGTTTCAATAATGAAGAATAATTTCAAATAACTTTCACAAAAATTTTAGTTCAATTTTTTTTTATCAAATAGCCATTAATAGAATAAATTAAAAAGCATGATGTAAAGTAAGAAAAGGCTAGTATTTTTCAATAAAAAAAAGCCATATTTTTTTCAGGCCAGTAAATGGTAGCTCATATTGAGAGAGAAATCTAATTCTAACTTAAAGTTGCAAAAATTAGGGCTGAAACGACTTATATTTCGATTGAATTTATAATTTATCATTTTGTTTGCCTTGATGTAATTCTCATGAGAGCAATTTTTTCATAACAGAACAATGTTTTCAAGATCTAATCTAATTTTTTGTTGTTGTTGTGTTCTTGTTTTGATTTAAATGATTTGTCTCGCAGTATTTAAAAGCTTTAAGCTTATCTTCTACGATTACTTCTTTATTCATAATAATTAAGACTCGGTATATTCTATTTTGCATGTAATGAAATATATAGAATGCAAGCAGATAAAAAATTTTGTCCTATACTTTTTTTAAACTGATTTGATTGGTTAGCATTTTTAAAATGATTTTTTTTTTCTTCTTCTTCTTAATTTTCAGCTATGGGTTTTGAGCTGTCTCATTTTAAGCGCCACATGTGCCAAAATAGAAAAAAAGAAAACTATATCTACCACAAAAGATTTAATAGCTGCAGCAACTGGTTATGGTGGAGCTGTTAGCTTTGCAGGAGCAAGTGGTGGAGGCGGAGGATATGGAGGAAGCGGAGGAGGTGGTGGTGGATATGGTGGTAGCAGCGGTGGTGGCGGAGGATATGGAGGAAGCAGTGGTGGCGGTGGAGGATATGGTGGAGGTGCTGGGGGAAAAGGCACAACTATCCTTCTTGCTATACCAGTATCTCTAAATGGAGGTGGCAAAAGTGGAGGTGATGGTGGTTACGGAGGTGGTAAAAGTGGAGGTGATGGAGGTTACGGAGGTGGATCTACAGGAGGTGGATATGGTGGTGGTTCTTCAGATGGTGGATATGGTGGAGCTTCAATTGGAGGAGGATATGGTGGTGGTGAATCTGGTGAGTATGGTGGAGCTGCTATAAGTGCAGGTGGTTATGGCGGATCTTCAGATGGAGGTTATGGAGGAGCATCACTTGGAGGCGGTTATGGTGAAGAAGCCCTAGGTGGCTTAGGAGGCTCATATGGAGGAGAAAAAAGTTCAGGAGGCGGTGATTCAGGATATGGTGGAGCATCAGCTGGAGGTTATGGTGGTGCATCTGCTGGAGAATATGGTGGTGCATCTGCTGGAGGATATGGTGGTGCATCTGCTGGAGGATATGGTGGTGCATCTGCTGCTGAATATGGTGGTGCTTCTGCTGGAGGTTATGGAGGTGGAGCTGCTGGTGGTTACGAGGGAGGATCTGCCGGTGGATATGGTGGAGGAAAAGGCGGAAGCGGAGGAATTCAAATTATTTCCCTCGGTGGTGGAGGATATGGCGGTAGCAGTGGTGGTAGTGGAGGATATGGCGGTAGCAGTGGTGGTGCAGGATATGGTAAAAGCGGTGGTAGCTCTGGTGGTTATGGGGGAAGCAGTGGTGGTGCAGGAGGATACGGTGGCAGTGGAGGAAATGGTGGTATCACTCTTTTAGGATTAAGTATCAGTAGCTTAGGAGGCGGCAAATCTGAAGGTGGTTACGGTGGAAGCTCAGGAGGATCAGGTGGTTATGGCGGAAGTTCAGGAGGATCAGGTGGTTATGGCGGAAGTTCAGGAGGATCAGGTGGTTATGGCGGAAGTTCAGGAGGAGCAGGAGGATATGGTGGAAGTTCAGGTGGAGCAGGTGGTTATGGTGGTAGCGGTGGAGACGAATACGCTGCTGCTTTAAGTGGAGCTTTAGGAGGAGGTTATGGGGGAAGTAGCGGAGGCGGAGGTTACGGAGCAGGTAATGGAAAAGGAGGATTAGGTGGCTATGGAGGAGGTGCATCTCTTGGAGGTGGTTATGGAGCCAGTCTCGGAGGAGGAGTAGGTGGTGGTTACGGAGGCAGTAGTGGTGGAAAAGGAGGTTTAGGTGGTGGTTATGGAGGTAGTAGTGGTGGAAAAGGAGGTTTAGGTGGTGGTTACGGAGGTAGTAGTGGTGGAAAAGGAGGATTAGGTGGGGGTTATGGCGGTAGTAGTGGTGGAAAAGGAGGTTTAGGCGGTGGTTATGGAGGTGGTAATGGAGGTAAAGGATTAGGTGGAGGTTATGGAGGTGGTAATGGAGGAAAAGGCTCAAGTGGCGGAAAAGGTGGATTTGGAGGTCTTGGTGGCGGATATGGCAACGGAGGTGGAGGAAAGAGTGGTGGATATGGAGGAAGCAGTGGTGGTGGAGGAGGATATGGAAGCGGAAACAGCAAAGGTGGATTTGGTGGCATCTCAAGTTATGGAGGAAGTCAATGGTCTTGGTAACCTGGTACGTTTTTTTTACATTTTATGAAATATAATGAAACGATACTTTTCGAAGTATATGAAATTCAATTACTATTTACGAAATATTTAAAATTTAATTTATATTTATTAAATCTTTAAAATTTTGTTAATATTCATAAAATAGTTCAAAATTTTCCATTATATTTCTGCTATCATTTATTGTAAGTAAGTTCAGTTACAGTACTTAGAAAAATTAGCAACAAAATTATATTATTAGTTTTTAGTATAAACTAGCATTGAATAATTCGAAGAACACATTTATTTATTTTTTTAAGCATTTAAAAGATAATTTTAAAAGAACTTCATTTTTCTACTTATTAATCGTAAATTTTGAAGAGAAAACTTAAAAAACGGGAACTAAAACTTATTTTAGATAAATTTTTTTTACAAAAATTCAGTTTAAGATTTGAAATTCACTTTAATTTTTTTAATTCAATTCATGAATTATCAATTTAATTTTTAAAAAAAAAACTTGTTTTGTTGATATCCTCATAAGAAGTTTTGCATCTCATGCAAGCATTTTTGAAACGAAATACCTGTTCAAAAATTAATTATCTATCCTTTGAAAAATTAACAAAACCAATAATTTTAATCTTATTTTGATATTTATAGTTAAGATATAAATTTGAATATCCAGAACCTAAAATGTTTTGAATCTAACACTTAAGCAACTTTTATTGAAGAAAATCAATGAAAGAGTTTAAAAAACTTGTTCTAATATCCGTATTTATTTCTTTTAGGAACATTTCACATGAACGGATAGCTTATNGGAGGAAGCAGTGGTGGTGGAGGGGTATATGGAAGCGGAAACAGCAAAGGTGGATTTGGTGGCATCTCAAGTTATGGAGGAAGTCAATGGTCTTGGTAACCTGGTACGTTTTTTTAACATTTTATGAAATATAATGAAACAAACCTTTTCGAAGTATATAAAATTCAATTACTATTTACGAAATATTTAAAATTTAGTTTATATTTATTAAATCTTTAAAATATTGTTAATATTCATAAAATATTTCAAAATTTTTCATTAATTTCTGCTATCATTTATTGTAAGTAAGTTCAGTTACAATACTTAGAATTCCTTGAAACATCTTTTCATAATTGTTTTATACCAAATGTAAAGTGAAAAATTAGCAACAAAATTATATTATTAGTTTTTAGTATAAACTAGGATTGAATAATTAGAACACATTTATTATTTTTTTTTAAACATTTAAAAAATAATTTTAAAAAAACTTCATTTTTATACTTATTAATCGTAAATTTTGAAGAGAAAAATTGAAAAACGGGAACTAAAACTTATTTTAGATAAATTGTTTTTACAAAAATTCAGTTTAAGACTTGAAATTCATTTTAATTTTTTAATTCAATTCATGAGTTATCAATTTAATTTTAAAAAAAAACTCATTTTGTTGATATCCTCATAAGAAGTTTTGCATCTCATGCAAGCATTTTTGAAACGAAATACCCGTTCAAAAATTAATTATCTATCCCTTGAAAAATTAACAAAAGCAATAATTTATATTTTATTTTGATATTTATTGTTAAGATATAAATTTGAATATCCAGAACCTAAAATGTTTTGAATCTAACGCTTAAGCAACTTTTATTGAAGAAAATCAATGAAAGAGTTTAAAAAACTTGTTCTAATATCCGTATTTATTTCTTTTAGGAACATTTCACATGAACGGATAGCTTATTTGGAAGCACTTGAATCTTTATGAAGAACGATACATCAGAAATACGAATTCATTGGATAAAATGGTGCTGATATTTATATAATTTTATAAAATGAACTTTTGTAAAAACTGAGGCATTGCTTTTAACTGTGTTATCAGCAGTTCGCAACCAGCATCTGCACACAACATTCAGATCATGTGATTAAGATCACTAGATTCCATTCGTGTAACGAGTGTCTGAATTTCTGGTGAAAACTGAAGCGCTTACTCATTCAGTATGACGTTTTCAACTTAATAATTCCTTAAGTGGAATTCTTGGTTCTGTTGATCATCAAGCATTTTGAGGAATCAATCGGAATCATTACTTTTTGTACAGAAATGCACGATAACTTAATCGTGTCGTTGTATGTTTCATCAACATATCGTGATATACATAGTTGATAATTTTGTAAATCTGCGCGCTTGTATATGTAAACTGCGAATTGTGACATAATTGCGAAAAAAATGACTAAATAAATTGTTTTTATTTTATGTATCTGTTTTAATTTGTCTTATACTTACATGAAGCAAAACTTTAATTTATACATAAAGCAAATTTTAATTAGTACATAATTTCTTACAGTTTGTTTTATGCCAGTTTTATTTTTTGTTTTACAAAATATTTTTTAATCAAATTTGAATTGTAGGTTATAATAAGACTTGAAAACATTTACTTATTAATTTGAATCATTCAGAGGGACAACAGTGAGCATTTATAAGTTAATTTAATTACACTAATTTGAAAATAATTGGAAAAATTTATGTAATTACTCTAATGTGAAAATCTTTCAAATAAGAGTTGAATTTCAAATAAGAATGAGAATTCCTTATTTTATTATTTGAAAAAAATCATGACTATTAAAATTATTTGTAAAATTCGTTTAATTCGTAAAGTGATTTTTAGGAATATCTTTTCTTTTTCAAAAAATTTGCCTTGTGAAATTTATAATGCAAAAGAAATAAGCATGAAGTTATGTTGTTTATGAAGTTATGGGAGTACAAAAATTTTTTGAATCAGCAAATATCATGAATCCTTTTTAAATTGACGTTTCATTTGAAAATCGAAAATAAATTGGTGTAGATAAAAAATAATTCAGTTGGGAGAGAAATAACTTTTAAAATACAATAAGACCGTTTAACTTAACATTATGTTTCATAAAAAAATTGTATGGACAACCAGCATGATTAACACGGTTAAAATTTGCACTGATAAAAAGTTATATATATGATTTTTAGTTCAATATAAATTAATCAATAATTCAATATTATAATTTTTAGAATATTATTTTTAAAGTTAGAAAAAACTACACTTTGAATATCTAACCGTATGATTACATTGGATTTCAGTATCTTAATGAAAAACTAATTATTCTTGTATTTTTTATAAGGCAAATGTTTGAACATTGGACCAATTTCAAATTTTTATTTTTTTATTTTAATGCAGATTGTAATATATTATATGAAAAATGAGCTATATTATACTTTTGTCTATTAATTTTTATTTATTTACTTTCAAGGGAATAATATTGAGCGAAAGTAAATAGATTTTCTTTTTAAATTACGGAATATTGACCCACGGTGCAATATGGTATTGTACCTTAGACCACCATATATAGCAATTTCAGAGTATTGACTGTTATTACTTAATTAAAAACTCTATTTCGCTCAAAAATATATAAATTGTAAATAACATGTTTCAAGCTCTCAAAAATAGGTACCCATTTTAAAGACTTTCAGGCTTGTTAAGAGATGTTGGATATATGGTAAAAGCGGTGGTA